ATAGCTTTACAACACAATGTGTGAATATTGTTTCGATGGCAGAATTTTTTTTGCTGCTGTAATTGCTTCTGTATGAGAGACTAGCCTCTTGTTGTGATCAGTCTGACATATCATATAGCTCAGGATAGACAGACACAACCAGAACAAGCATATCTTCCAATCTCTCAGTTACCTAGATGAGGAAAAATTAGATGACGAGAAAAGATTTTAATTTCAGATATTTCAAAAAATACTCATTCTCTAGAGAACTACATGTCACGACATAAACTCTCTCCTTCATGGGAATAATTGTAAAAAAAAACATTACGCTGATGGTCACAAAACTAACACTGCAGAGACACTGAGTTAACTACTTTTTGGTATTCTTGCTTTATTAATGATCTTAACAAATATTGTATTATAACAACTGTGGAAAGTAACCCACTAAAGCCACAGTCTGGTTTGAGTGAATGCCTTATTTCTGATGAATTTTTAAATGATGCAGGTGGTGATCATGCTTTCAAGTTTTTCAACAGAATGGCCTGTTCCAGATGGAAATCCAAAGATTCTTTCTGTTCTTATAGCTTCTGGCTCTGATAGAGGTTTGATTTTTTAGCAGACAAAATGCCTTTCAAACCCACTGTCCAGTTTTGGAGCTCAGTGGGTTAAGTTGCAGCCAAGTGGTTTATCAAATAATCAACTAGTGCTGCAACTTCACCGTACGAGCAACGATCTTGAGAAACCTCCAGATGTAGATCGATGCCAGAAGCACGTTTTGGCAGGTTGCTGATCTGATCTGCTTTACTCTTGGTTCGCTGAGATCAGGATGCCTCGTCGGTGCATGAATGGAGACTTTGTGTCATCAGCAGCGGGTAGCCGAGTCCGCTGCCAGGTCGTCCTCCATGACAGAGGGCCTGTGAGAGTAACTGGATGTGTTGGGAAGGATGGTTGTATTTTCTGCAGACACTTGTAATCATCATGCTACAAATCATCTTCTTATCATTGCTGTGTGTTCTGACACCAGCTATAGAGAACGATTATTTTATAGTCGGGCCTGAAGAAGCAGAGAGTGGGGTGGCTTCGTCTTCTCACTGCCAGAAAGAGGTTCTGTTGTAACGACATGCTAAAGAAAGAGCTTGTGCCCCCTGCCAGCGCAGCACATAGACGGATCTTTGTAATACTGAGGAACCCTCGCTGCTGCCCCAGTTCTGCAGAAGCTTCATGTGACCCGTTCAGTTTGACTCTTCAGCACATTTATCTGTGATGTTTTTCAGCAGCATTGTTAGATCTTCTCCGCGGGGCAGGCATCGACTGTTCAGCTCATGTAAATATTGAAGCTCCATGCGAGGCAGTTGTTGAAATCAATTATGCAACGAGTCATTTTATTGGCAAATAAAACTGTGTTAATGTCCTGCTCAGTTGCGATTGATTAACCCTGTGCAGCAGCTCTTTGTCCGCTTATGATTAAGCGTCGTTTTGAATGCCAGCAATGTCTGTAGCTGAATTAAAGATGAGATAGTGGTTTGGTCGTGTCCCATCGGGATGAATTAATGTTCTTCCTGTTTCTCAATAGCAGTAATTTTACAATAAACACCGTTTCCTAACTTTAGCACGATTGCTCTCTCAGTATATTTTCCCCATGTGCTCAGAAGACTACAACTAGGTTAATCTTTCCTTCTTGTAATCACTTGGCTTGTTATTTACAACTGGTAGGATCTCTGCACAATAGCTACACACCTGAAATCCTCTTGATTTTATAGCTCAGCTCCTCACAAAGCCACGAAGCAGCTTGTATATCTTAAAGACTTAGTCAGCCACAAGAGAGGAGATATTATGAGCAGATTTCAGCTCACAGATATACTGTCAGTGCAAAATGTTTAACACTTATAATACTACAGTTTGCCTGCACACACTTTTTATTAAACGTTTATTGCAGGAGAGGATGATTTTTTTTTTTTTGCTTTCCATTGCAAGACTTAGATAAGACGATCTCCATCACCACTTTTTGTCTGTGTGGAAAATATCCAGTGCAGCCAGTTAGCTCAGCATTGAAACTGGGAGACTAGTTTGCTTTTTTCTCCCCTGTTTCTCGTCTTTATGCTAATCTAAATCAACCAGGTGCTGGCATTCCAACAAAAGCTAAATGAAAGCAGCACCCACAATAGTAAACTATTCCTTAAACATCCAACATGTAATAGAATTTAAAATCAGTGTTATGTTATTGTTTATCTGTCTGTGATGGCTTAGAAGCCTAATAGTGTAAGTTGGACCCAAAAGCAAGAGGGAGACAGGTTACAGAATAATTAAGGCTTTTATTGAGGGAGCTAGGAGTGAGGGACACCAGGAAGCAGGGAGAGGGATCCAAGGTGGGGGGCTCCGTGGAGACGTGCTGGAGGGGAGTTCGGTGTCGGTGCTCGTGAGTGGGAATCCAAACCTTGTGAGAGCTGGGGGGGTTAAGTGTGGCTGAGTGCAGGTTGGCTGGGTGAAGCTGGGCAGTGGACCGATGGAGCTGAACGGAGTATCACTGGAGAACAAAAGACGAGCGGGACAGGTTACTCGAGAGACTAGCTACACAGCAAAAACTGACTAGAAAAAGCACAAGAGAGTTAAGCGTCCAAACCACCACCCTGAGAGTCGATCGTCGTCTGGCACTGGAGCGCAGGTGGAGCGAGGCTTTAACCAGTGCCTCATCACCAGATAGGCTGCTGGTGTGAGAGTGTGCAAGCATCCTCCTCCAGCCGGACCCGCCCAGCCTGAAGCACAAAAACACACCCAGCCGAAAACACAAGCACAAATCGAAGGGCCCAAATAATCCCTGAATAATAAAACCAGTCCATACTCATCACACTGTCAGCTGTAAAATAGATCAAATGTCCCCAAAATTTGTGAATCTTTATGAAAAACGTATACGTTGCATATTTATGTTAGAAGAGTCAAATTGCCCAATATCACATATATGTATCACTACCTGGCCTTAAATTATTTGGGCTCTGCAGTGCAGGGAAAGGCCGATAATTCAAACTGCTTTCATCATGATTCACGATCACTTCCACCTTGAACATGAATAAAAACAATAACTCCCTCTGGTTGCACCGATAAGTTGACCTTATCCTGTAAAATCTGAAGTCAATTTAAAAGTCGTCCCCCGAAGCGGAGCAACGCCGGTGCTCAGTTCTTCCTAAAACACCTTGAGCAGGAGGATTTGGGATGCTCGCTCCTTTTTCACCGCCGCTCACAAGCGTTCATCTCCCTTTAGGGCTGAAATATTAATGGATGAGTTTTATTCTGGAGTCAGGGAGGTGACCTTCATACGAGTCCTCAGAGAGACGAATATTCCACTTTCTGCCACGCACCCCTTTCATCCTAAAACAGGACACTTTTATCCAAGCACCTGTAAACAGAAACTGGAGTTATATTATTTGTTCATGTTTATCTCACTGAGAAGGCAAACTTTGAGTTCTCATAGTTTAGCAATCCCAGCGATAAAACGTTGTGTTCTTAAGGATATGGAGCCGAATGAATAGAAGCAGTTACATAATTTTATCTTGATTAGCTTTAAGTAAGATTAAAAAGTTGCTGCCTCAGGATCCATCCAGGTAGAAGCTATGAATAAGAAATGATCAGAGAGAAAAGGTAGAAATAAGTTTTGTGTGTGCTGAGTATACTTTTTGTCCTATATACGCGACGCCCCTGGACACCTCCACCCAGCGCTGAGCTTTCATGCCTGTCTAGCAGTAAGACGTGAGTCACAGCTTGCATTGCAGCAAATGCAGCCTCAGACGTTGCTGCTCCCTTTTGCCCTGCGTTTCCCCCCTTTTCTTTCAGAAAAGTGCCGGATTTGATGTGTGTTGACAGCGTGAACAGGTAACACCGCTGCTTCCACTTGCTCTGTCAAGCCGCTAAAGACTAATGTTAGTCGGCAGGCCTGGGTCGGGTGGCGTGGAGGGACTGCACATGGTGGCGTAGTCCTGACAGCACAGGAGAAGTGGCCCACGACAACGTTCCCGAAGCACAGCTTGCTGTTCAGTAGAGTAGGTTGACTCGCGAATTGTGTGTACTGTATGCCACATAAACTTCTTTGTCTGGATCTTTAGTTCTTCATTTTTGATCCACAAAACGAGGATTTTTCTTTTCCTTTGGGTCCTAAATGTGCTTTGACTTTGCAGCAACAAACTCTGCTGGAGGTTTCAGGACAAGGTTTGTCATTGGGGTGAAAGTTTTGCAAAGCCATTATTCAACAGCAATGCTCTGTTTATTTCCCAGGTTGCTAGCTGATAGTCTTGTTCTTCTTGACCTTTGATGGCACATTGCTAAGTTTACTTGTGCCTAATGCCTAATCAGTGAATTCAAAACATGAACTAAAGTGTGGTTTGGGTTGGAAACTTGCTCATCTATCGAATAATAAGCATTGTGTTTTGGCGTTGTTGTGAGCAGGCCCTTTTATGTTCTTACTGAGCTTGTGTTTAGAAAATCATGCAAAAAAAAATGGAATGACGTGAATTTTCCAACTCCCTAAATTTAAGATTTGGACTCTTAGATTTCATTTTTCAGCAGATCTACCGTTGGGCCCACAGCTCTGTTGCCGCAATGCAGTTTCCTTCTCAAAATGATGTGTTAGTTCCCACAGATTGATTTCCTAGCTCCAGTGCCTGCAAGTGGATTTTCTGTCTCTAACGACGCGAAAGATAATTTATGAATCTGTATTTATGGTATACAAAAAATGAAACCTTTTTTCATTCATGCATGGGTTGGAGGAAGAGCAACCATGAAACATCCAATGATGAATAGCCATGAAACCATCTCTGCACGCTATTAGGGTGAAAAATAAACACTGGAGTGAACAGTCTCCACGCGTATCTGTACATCACGTCCTCACAAATGGAAACATCAATAAACCAGGCAACCCAGAGGACAAACTGTGATGATAGTAGCGGGTCATCACCGGGGCGTCATTTCTTCAAATCACTCAGCAAGCACTCAGTGTTCCTTTCTAACTCCTGATTGTTTTAATGTTCCAACAGGTGCTGGGGAGTCTGGGAAGAGCACCATCGTAAAGCAGATGAAGTAAGTTTATCTCACTTTACTTTTAATACTCGGTGTGTTCTCCGCAGCTCAAAGACGGATTCTCCGCCTCGCTGGAACTCGGTTAGCGTGATGGGCGAGCCAATAAATGCCATAAAACCTGGGCTAATCATAACGTAATCTGTTGGCAAAACTGTTATTTACTTGTTCTGCAAAAGACGCCAAAGAAGGAGTTCTATCATCCAGAGTTGGAGGTAAAGTGTTTTAGCTGCAGATTAGGTTGTCATTTTTTTAAAAACCTTGATGTATTTTTGGAAAAACAAGAGCATAAACTACCGACACCTGATGACGCTCCACTCCCCGTCCTGCTCCACTGATCTTATCTTTGCTGTGTTAGGGTGAGACACTCAGGTGCTGTGTGCTGGTCGACAACAACTTTATTGGATAAGATAAATTGAGCTTCCTTCTGTGTGTTTTTCAGAGGATACTATGGTCACTAATGTTATTTTCTCTTGCTGCACATAACACAAGAATAGTGTGATGAGTTTTCTGAACACAGAGGTTGTTGTAACGTCTGCGCACCAATCAGAAACACACACACATGCCGGACCCTAAATGGCTTAATTATTCACATTCCTCAGGGCTAGCCAGGCATTGAATCCATTTTTTATGAGTCTGGAGCAGGAACAGTCTGTCGCTTTTGAAGCCAGGTTATTAACAGACGTACAGATAAATCAGCCTGAAACACTCATAACGCCGGCCTATTATGTAACATTACGCGGTGAAATATCCCGTGTAAACACAACATTACAGCAGGTTAGGAGCTCTGTTCTTACAGAACTACGGCAACTATTTTCTAAATTATAATTTGCATCACTTGTGCTCTTAAAGGCAGCAGCAGCTTTAAGGTGGGGTCGTCTCGGTTCGCTCTCTCTGCACCTCCTCCTGCAGCCTGATGGAGTCTGGCAGATCGCATGATAGGACGCAGTCTTGTGCATGCACAGACGCTCAGTTTGCTCCCTCTTACATTCAGAGGCGTAGCATTGCAGGAGACAAACTCAGGATACTGCATCATCTGAGCGCTGCAGAGTTCCACTGTGTGTTAACCCCACTGCTACACATCATCCTACACAGCGCGCTGTCATGATAAATGTGATGCAGTATGCTTCTCGCTAGACAAGATAGAAAGGAAGACGAAGAAACGCTGCAAAATGTTTCCAACTGTGTCTCTTATATCGGTTAAAGGACCAGCGTGCAAGATTTAATCGACTGGGAGACAATTGAATATCGTCTTTTTGTGATGTTTTCATTAGTGTGTAATCACCTGTAACTATAAAGTGTTGTGATGTTTTTATCCTAGAATGAGCCCTTCATATCTACACATGGAGCCCACCATAATGTGGCACCATGTCAGCTAAATGACAAACACCGACTCTAGAGAGGGTTTTTGCTTCGAAGTATTGCCACTACAGTTTCTCCACATGTTTGTTAACCCTCTGAACCCCAAGGACTTTCTGAGAATGGCTTCCCCCTGTGTTTTTACTCACTGTGAGCTAATTTTCACTGCAACCTAATATCCTGTGCCTCTATGAAACCAGCACAACCGTGAACAGAAGTACAGGAAACTCAGAGATGTCTTTTGTGTAGGGGGACAGTTATGATGCTGTAAATGACAGGTTGGATTAAATTGTTTGTTTTTGGCTAATTTTACTTTCATGAGACATCTAGAAGAAAGTGGGGCTGCAAGGTGGCTCGGTGGTTAGCGCCATTGCCTCGCAGCTAGAAGGTCGCCGGTTCGCGTCCCTTTCTGCGTGGAGCCTCCATGTTCTCCTCGTGCAGCGTGGGTTCTCTCCGGGTTCTCCGGCTTCCTCCCACAATCAAAAACATGTTGAGGTTAATTGGTGATTCTAAATTGTC